GGCAAATCACTTCACCTCTCCTTCCCCTCTCTTGTCTAGTTAGACTACAAATTCCTTAGCGCAGGAACCATGTCTTATCATGTGTATGCACAGCGTCTGACACAACGCACCATGATCTCAGCTGAGGGCCTGTAGACGCCGGCATGATGCAAATCTCTGTGTGATCTGGGAGCTGCTGTCCATTCTGCAAAGGGGAAGGACTGAAATAGCGTTAGGTAGTTTTTCAACATTAAATGAATTAGGATCTCTTCCAAGGTGGCTAACTGATAGCCATGGAGACTGAATTTGTCAGGTTGTATTCCTGGGGTATATGTCAGCAACAAAACTTCACTTTTGCCTTAAAGTGACCACATTCAACCGGAAGGTATTGAGAGTATAAATGTGGGTTTCCAATTCTGCAGTTACTTTTCTGACTCTGTAACTGCACTGCTCATAATCTCAGAGGTGCCAGTTAAAGCTCCCATGGATTATAATAGGGTTTTGATGGCAGCTCGGGTAAAGGAAACAGACACTTCCTTTAGGGCCAATAAACTGTAAACGCTTGGAAAATGGTGTCGTTGCCTGGACAATCTAACTAAGAGAGAAAGCAGCCACAGCGCAAGCCAGACCTTCTGGCATTCAACAATGCTGGTTGTTTGGAGAAGGGAAACAATCATAAACAGTCTGTGCAGACTTTCGGCTGCTCCGGTGACATGTGTTTGCTTTTGAGAGCATCGAGTCAAGCTTTTCAATTACCCTACGAAAAGAAAAGTATGAGGTCGAATGGGGTTATTTAGTAATGACGTGTCCACATCTGCAAGGGATTTGTTGCCTTTCCAATTAGATTACATTTGGTTCCTTCCAGAGAGATGGCGGACACCTAGTCTCCCACCACCAGATGTATTTTACTTTTGTAGCATTTCCCCGGGCAGGTAAAGTATTGTGTTTTTCCCCTCTCCTGTAATTAATTTAACAATCTTCGGTATGGTAGAAATCCATGGAATTCAAGAACAAGGCTTATCATGGTAGGGAAAAAAAAGAACTCCCAAAAAATATCAAGTTCAAAAATCTGAGACTGGAACAGGCTACTGTTGTAGCTTGCAAAGGGAGGCGTATAGAGGAGTTTCCCTGGGAGTTAGTGCTGAGAACATATGTTCAATGTTAAGCATGTGCTTAAGTCCACCCATGTTCAGCAAAGCACTAAAGCATGGCTCTTAGTTATATAATGGTGCCTTAAAAAAGTATTCTAATAAGTAGTATATATAATCTGAAGAAGTGAAAGATAAATGAACTTTATATTTACGCTGAGAAGTTGGAAAGATTCTAACAAGTTGTGTGCTGGCCCACTGTATATTGGGAAGACTCTGTCTCTTAGGAAGGAACTTTTCATTGCATGAGGAGCATTGGGGTAGGATAATTGATCATTTTCTCCTTCAGGTGAAACACATATGCAGTCTAAAGTGAAACCCAAAATATGAGCGATAGATATATTGCTTATAGAATTGCAAGAGAAGATGCAGAAACGGGCATGAAAACATTTTGAGTGGGAAAGGGGGTCAGACAAATGAGATAAGAAAATCTTAATTCTCAAACTACTCTGTGAATCTCTGGCTCCTATTAGTTTTCCTTGGAAATCTCCCTGCACTCAGATACCAAAGTGAAGGGCTTTTTTTGATTTAGATGAGAGTAAATCAGGGATTTGCAAACATTTTGGTAGTGTGAACCACATTTTCTTGTGGCTCACACATTGTCCATGGGGCAACTACAGTAACTGCATACATGGAAAAGTAATATTAGGAAAATATGCCTGTATTGGTACATGCCTTTTAAGGCAATTGAGCAGCTGGAAGCAAGAAGGAGAAGCCAGCACCATGTGAACAGCTAGTTCTCCACAGACAACCAGAAATTGTTTCACAGACTAGGCCACAGTCTGGGAGCCTCTGACAGAGAGAGAGAGAGAGAGAGGCCGGGGGGAAGAGAGAGAGAGATGTTATCAGAATTGGACAGGTATTGAAATAAATAATTAGCTCCAATAGTGGGTGTGATGCTTCATGGATAATTCAGAAGACATGGTCCCTGCATCTAAATAGACCATGTATAGCTAATGGCTGGTGGATGAGAAGTAAAGGAAAAATAAGTGCTGAGCAGAGAAGTTTAGCAGGGTCTTGTTTCATATTTTCTGTTGGCATCACAGAGTGCAAGACCAGAATGAGTCATGTGAGGGGGTATACCTGCCCTGCATTGGGCAAGAAGAGGTTAACCCTACGCTGTGGGCTGAGGAAGCCAGGCCCCTTCTCCCCTGCTGGGCATGCTCCAACTGGAACCACATTATAAAAGGGAGCCGCCCAGCTCAGTCTGCTCTGACCGCTGAGAAGACAATATGTGTTGCGGGTTCCTGTCCAGGAGCTGTCGGAGTCCCAGACTGCAGAGGCCAGGCATGCCAAGACCCAGGAGAATACCTGGCTAGCCATGGGAGCCCAAGAGAAGGAGTCGTAAGGAGCTGCACCGGCCAAGTACCCCAGAGAACCAGAGGGCCTGCGGACTCTGGAGCAGACATTGATCCGGTTGTGGAACCGGGAACGCAGTCAGTGTGTTTTGGACAGATCCCTGCTGACCCAGTGGCGGATACTCTCGCTGCTGATAGGGCCCTGGTGGAGTAGGGAGGGCCAGGGTCCACCTGCCCAAGCTGCCAACCCAACCATGGGTGGTGGCCCACCCCGCTTTTTGGCCATTAGGCTGCGCTGCCCTGCACCAAAGCATAGGCCCACTGACTCTTGCCATTAGGCCTTACCACCCTGCACAGGAAGCCAGCCCTCTCAACTCTGGCCACTAGGCCACGCTGCCCTGCATGGAAAGGCACCCCAATTAACTTGACTGTGGGGCCATAACTCCCCCCAAAGGAGTATACGGGGTATACCTGCCTAGCAACAGGCCACCGGATCATGACCTCCTGTATAGCACAAGCCACTAAACCCCACCTAGCCACCCCCACACCAAGCCAACAACTAGAATTAGACCTAAGTATTACAGCCCTCGGGAGACTAAACTATTGTGTGCTACAGGCAGAATACAGGAGGGATCGAAGTACATCAATGTCCAAGGCGCTTGCAGTGGTTCAGTAGGGTTCTTCTACTACTATATCTTGTATCTGTCTGGCTAACACTACTTTGAGGGGAGGCCTAGGGGTGGTAGGCCACTTGGAAGAAACATGTTTTAAGGAAGGACTTTAAGAAGGAGAGTGTCAATGGGGATGACACACTGGGCCAGGGAGGGGTTCCAGGCTGAGGGCGCCACATGGGCAATGGCACAAGACTGGAAGAAGGACATGAAAGCAGGAGGTTAGACATGTAGCTTGGACAGAACAAACTGGACCCTGGAGTGAGTGACCAGAGATGAAAGCACAGAGTCAGGCAGAAGTTAGACAATGCAGAGCTGACTTTATAATGTCCCTGTCCCCCTGGAGGATCCCAAAGACCTTTAACAAACTGTGGGCAAAATCTTGTCAGATCTGCCCAGTGGATCTCCACTGCTGTGTCCTGCTCTGTTTAGATGAATGGATCTCTACCCCAGTCACTGGGGAATCTGAGCACAGAGAGTAGAACAGAGGAGCCAAGATTTGTTGCGTGGATCTGCGAGCAGGATTTAACCCTGTTTTTGGAGGAAGCATTTCACTCTCCTTAAAATGCTTCCACTTCTGCATTGGAATATCGCTGCTCTTTAACAGTGCAACAAACACTACACAACAGCTGATGACAAGAAATGGAGAATGCCATGTCTTTTTGAAACAGATGGGCAGGCTTCAGGCTTGTGTGTAGTGTAGGAGAGAACCACAAGACATGATGAACCCAAGACTATTATTTTAGATCTTGTGCTAATCTGCCTTCAGATTTGCAGGGCATGGCCAAGTGGTAATACCAAGACTGTTTGAACGAGAGTGATTTGACTATATATATACAAATTATTTTAACTGTTTCATTGGAACACACACAACAAATTCCTGCCTCACAAGAGGTTGAGCCTTTAAAATCTGCCTAAAAATGAGATCCAAACAAAGTCTCCCTCACATGCTGGAGACTTGGCCGGTCTGTCAGTACAATTTGCAAATGCAGAGCATCTGCAGACCACATAAAGTGGGAAAGTCACAGAGGGGCATTTACAGATTTTGCTATAGCTCCTTTTACTTAGGCTTTTAAAAATGCAGTTTCTTTCCCTCCTGGCTGTAAGGAGATTGGATTCTGAAAATTAATGCACTGCTGTTGCATTTGGTTGGTAGCCAGCCAGCCAAACAATAAGGCCTGCAGGCATGTGAACATCTCACATGCATCGCAATGAAGAATGCACTTCAAAAACTAGTTCTGGTCACAAAGCTATACGCACATTGTTTCCTTAAAAAATGTGTAAGAGAATTATTTAGTGTGCCAGTGAAAAAAATGCTGGATTAACAACCATGGAGACTGAAGTCCCCTGTTTCACCTCAGAGCAGGCAGGAGCAATGCAAACTTGCCTTCTAATATCCTGCTAATAAACTTTCTCCTTGTTTTAAAAGGACCACATCTAGGGCAGCAGAGGAGCTCAGTACCCATGGCCCAGTTAGTCCTTAGCCTCCCTGATGAGACTGCCAACAAGGAGACCAACAAATGCCAACTGTGATGATCTTTTCTGAGATGCAGACATCTCTTCACCAGGCCTTGGACTATGATCACTAATTCATTTCCACAGAGGCCCCCAAACAGCCTATGTACTACAAAAAAATTGGAGAATGATTTGTGCGAGGTGACTAGAGGTGAAAAGTTCCCTACTCTGTTCCCAAATCCCCTGAGCCATGCAACCCCCAGGTGATACTGCTTGGCCAGAACTGAAATATACGTGCTTCACCTCGGTACACAGAACTAACTTCTTCTCAATGCATAAGACAACAGGGCCCAATGGTCAGTTATGCTACATTGGGAGGACAACAATTTTGAACACTTTGCAGCAAGAACTGAGCAGATTTGGGCTGTAGTAAATCTTGTGGAACTCACCTACAGGAGTATGGGCATCTCCGGCTGTAGCGGCAGCAGTAAAATTGCCACTCCCGATCAAGCACAGATGGAAAATACTGGCTCTGGAACCCAGCCACCAGTCCATTATTTGAACAGGTCTGATACCTGAGAAAAGGGAGGGAAAAACAAAACACATTATTAAGTAATATTTTAAAGAAGAAAGCAGCACTTACATAGCAATTTACATCTTCAAAGCACTGGGCAAGGAAACGATACAGCGTTGCCAACCCCAAATATTCAAAAATCATGAATCAGGCAAAGATTGGCTTTAAAATGTTAAATTAATGCTTCTTTTTCTTTGCCCTCTGGTATTTGAGCATTTAGGGCTCACTGGGGTCACATTTTCAAGCTTTTCTCTGCAATCCTGTGGGCTAGAAACTGATTTGATGAAAATGAAAGTTGAGTTTCTCATGTAATCACCTGAATCCAGGAGCTGGGGCTTTAATAAAAACATCAAATATTGTGCAATAAAGTCCCAAGAGTTGGTAACAGCATTACAATATTATTTTGTACGTGGGGAAACTGAGACATTCTCTGGGGGGGAGATTAAAAGCCTTGGCCAAGGTTTGAATTTGGATTTGCAAAATGAAACACTTGCTAAATTTACTGAACCACTAGGCTAAAAGTTATGAGGGAGGTCCTCCACCAACAACCCGGGGTTACAAAAAACTCATTTTTTCTTGTAGGGCAGACGATGCCTGAAAAGCCGATCGTATGATACTACCACAATGTTCCCTCTTCAGAGCTTTGCTAATGAAACATCAAGCACAATGTTTTCCCAGGAAAAAAAAGACTGTCCTAGGTAATTTTGTTTTCCTGTAAAACGCTTTCCTGCAGTGGCACTGCACAAAGATCTATTATTTTTAATATTCCATGCAAAATTTCCTTCAAGTGGAGCAGCAGGACAGAAGTGCGTGCCCACTGGTTTTGCTGATGGTGTCCTTGTTTTACAGAATGCCATTACCTGAGCGATACAGCCCAACATCATTCTTTATCAGCCCATTAAGGACAAGAAGGGAAGGGTAAGTGCTTGAGGCAAAGCTGAAAGCAGTTAAAGCACTTCAGCTCAGGCCAAGGGAGGCCCTCACAATGTCCAGCTCCACTGAGGTCATGCAACTTCCTGTCATCTGCTTCTGCCAGGGCTGCAGGAAACTCCACCATCCATTTCCTCCAGGGCCTTGGGAATCCTGTCACCCACTTCCTCGTGGCCATAGGCAACCCTGCTGTCCAATCTGGCTCGTGCCACTAGCAACCCTGTTTCCCTCACATGAGTCACTGGCAGTGACCCATTCCTCTCCCACACAACCTCTCTGTCCTTGGGGGAGGCTAGCTCCTCTTCCCCATGGCCTCACTCCTTGTTGAGGTTGACTGGTGAGGACTATACACAAACCTAAGCAGCCCTGCTTCCGTTTCCGTCTATGCAAATAGTCCTACTGGAGTCAATACAGTAGATCTGTGTCAAAATGCACCCTGCTGTCCCTTTAAAATAAACCTACAACTGCGAGGAAACCAGCTTGTTTATGGCAGCTAGCACGAATGGGAACATGTGGCAAGGGCAGTCTAAAAAGCAGGCAGCCTGATTCCCGGGTTTGTGTAATGCTTTCCCAGTGTTGGTCATAGAGTCTGCACAAAAACAGTCCTCCAGAAATGTACTGGGCCGTGTTGCCAACATGTGAACAGGCAACTCCCACACACATAATCTTCCTTAGCCCATGATGTAATCTGTGTCCCAGGGAGTGTGTGTGTGTGTGTGTGTGTGTGTGTGTGTGTGTGTGAGAGAGAGAGAGAGAGAGAGAGAGAGAATGATTCAGAGACTGCAGAATCTGTTTTCCCCACTTCCAACAAAACACTTTCCCAGAATCCTAACCAAGGAAAAGAGGCAACAAACTTACATTAAACCGCACTTTGTTAGAAAAGTGTATACATTGTGCCTGAAAAATAAACAGGTTGTTGAGGGTAGGGCACAGCATTAGTCTATGTAATATGAAGAGGGGCTGGGGGATGAAGACCTCATAAAGCAGGGGTGGCCAACCTGTGGTTCTGGAGCCACATGCAGCTCTTCAGAAGTTAATATGCGGCTCTTGTATAGGCACCGACTCTGGTGCTGGAGCTACAGGCGCCAACTTTCCAATGTGCCAGGGGGTGCTCACTGCTCAATCTCTGGCTCTGCCATAGGCCCTGCCCCCACTCCACCCCTTCCCGCCCCCTCCCCTGAGCCTGCCATGCCCTCGCTCAGCCCCCTCCCCCTCAGCCTCCTGCAAACCAGAAAACAGCTGATCGGGAGGTGCGGGGAGGGAGGAGGAGGTGCTGATCAGCGGTGGCAGCCTGTGGGCGGGAGGCGCGAGGGGCAGGAGAGCTGATGGGGGGCTGCTGACGTATTACTGTGGCTCTTGTCTTTGGTAATGTACATTGGTAAATTCTGGCTCCTTCTCTGGCTCAGGTTGGCCACCCCTGTCATAAAGGGACATCCTTTCTTGGGCAAGAATTGTTTGTTTGGTTATTTTAATCCCTGCCATTTGGTGCAATTTGGTTCATTCCATCCACAGTTGTTCTTCCTAAATATATATTTTTAAATAATCTCTGCCAGAGATAATTGAGCAGCGGCCACAGAAGAAATGAACTTCACCAGAGGCAGAGAAATCACCCAAATCCTCCCTTCATTCGGGTGGAAAAGTTTTAAACTGAACTCCCAGGGGCCCCTCCATTGTAAAGGTAATGGGATAGACATACATTACCCTTCCTCGGATTACACATCCCTGTTCAAAACGTGTCACTGTGTAGCTGCCACGACAAAGCCATAATTAACTGGGCTTATCTTATAAATTATTAGAAACTGACACTGTCCCCCTGACCTCTCACTGCTCCAATCCCCCGCCACTGCCTACCCACTAGTCATTAAGGGCCAGATTCTACTGCCCTAACATTGAGTAGTATCTTGTTCCCCATACAGTCTCCGAGAAGCCAGTGGAGACACTTGTGAAGTAAGGGTTCTACTCAGCATGACTAAAGGTGTCAGAACCTTCAAAAATAGGCCCCCATTCAGCAAAGTCCCTAAACATGTGCTTAACTTTAAACACATTCATAGATCAGAAGGAACCATTAGATCATCTAGTCTGACCTCTTATATATCACAGGCCACAGAATTTCATCCAGTTACTCACATAGAATATCAGGGTTGGAAGGGACCTCAGGAAGTTATCTAGTCCAACCCCCTGCTTAAAGCAGGACCCATCCCCAGCTATTTTTTTTTTTTTGCCCCAGATCCCTAAATGGCCCCCTCAAGAATTAAACTCACAACCCTGGGTTTAGCAGGCCAATGCTCAAACCACTGAGCTATCCCTCCCCCCATGTGTGTGTCTGGCCCCATTCAGCAATGTGTTTAAGCCCATCTCTATTCAGTAGAGCACATAAATATATACTTAACTTTAAGCACATGCTTATGCTCATCCCCTAATCAGCAAAGCACTTAAAGTTAAGCCTGTACTTAAGTGAACACATGCTGAATCAGGGTCATAACAGTGAAAAGTCATAATATTTCTTCCTCTCTGAGCTTTACATCCCCACTCCATTTTCTCTCTCATGTTTTTTTTCAAAAGACTGTCTCTTGGGTTTATTTCTGCTTTGAAAACTGCACAATATACAGAGATGGTAATTAGTTAAAAAAACACAACTAGACAGTACCAAGTTCTTGGTCAAAGGTCTCTTTTTGGTGTTTCAACCAGAATGGGGTTTCTGATGCATGTTTTAGACAAGATAGCCAGCAACTGGAGAGAATTCAAAGGAGAGCAGCAAAATTGATCAAAGGTTGATTAAAGATCTGGGAAAATTAGACCTCTAAGGAAAAGTTAAGCAAATGGAGAACATGTTCAGGCTGAAAGCAAAGAGGCAGAGAGGGGGCATGGCAACTGTGACAGATATTGCAACTGTACATTAACATCTGTGGGGACCGTGTTGTATTACGTTTATGTATCACCGTGAGGCAGGGATTGTGTGCCACTCTTGGGGACAAGGTGTGTGTGTGTGGGGGTTATCACCGCTCCTCCAGAACCAAAAACAGTGAGGGGTGATTACATAGTAAACACCTCCAGAGAAGTACCGACCATGGGTAGGCCTGCATATACTGGTTCAAACTGGGTTTTCCAGAGACCAACAGACAAAGAGAGGGCTTTTGGCATAAAAAGGCTGCATTTAAATTGACTCGCGCTTTCCTTCTGATCTAGCAAACAGGCAGGACCTTCTCTCTAAGGGCCCCAAACCTTGCAGAAGAATTGGAAAGACTTTGGGAAGACTGATGGGTGACCTCTGGTAAGCTTTTAGCATTTGCATAGGAACTTTTACTGTTTTGATCTGTTTTCTCTGCGATGCTTTTACCCTAAGAATAAATATGCTTGCTTAGAAAGAGCTGTGTGGTAACATGTAACAGTTTGAAAAACACTGTTCATAGCCTTCGGAGAGAAAGCAGTGCACAGATACTGGCCTTTAGGCAGACTGGCTTGCTTGGGATATCTCAGTACAAGGCAGGGAGCTCTGCAGCCTTAAAACCCCTGCTCTGAAGGGAAAGAGGCGTGGGTCTCTGCCCAAGAGAGGTGATGGCTAGGAGCCAGAAACCTGAAGTGGTGGCCTCAAAGGACCACAGAGGGGAATTACAGTTACCCTGAAACTGTGACAACAACCACCTGCTAATATGCTAAAGGGACATCATGCAGACAACAATACATTTATTTTCATTAGTCAGTGAAGGCAGGACAAGACGTAACAGGGAAAATGTAGATTAAATATTAGGAAGAATTTTGCAACTTTATGTTTGTGAATGGAGCAGGCTGCCAATGGAGACTGTGGAATCTCTGTTGTTGGTGATATGCCAGGTGAGGCCAGACACCCATCAGTCAGGGATGATGTAAGGATAATAAAATCCATCCCGCCACAATGAGAAATGGATTAGATAATCCAGCAGAGATCGTTGCCAACTGAAGTTAATCTAATTTGTCTCTCACAAGTAGAACTGATCAATCAGGAGGCCAAAAGGGACACAGAGATGGCCAGAAAGAGACTCACTGTACTACAGATTAACTACAGATTATTATTCATATTTGTGTTCCTATACAGTTCCTGAATGGAAGTATATTCAGAATAGTGTCAGGCACGCAAATACCATGGCGATGAGCTTGGTAGAGAGCTGGAAAAGAGAGGCAGATAGATAAATAAAGAGAAGACAGAAGGATTGGATTTTCAAAAGCCCCAAGAAAGTGACATAGGAGCACAAGTACCACGGACTTTCAGTGGTCACCTAGGTGCTTTTGAAAATCCCACCTGAAATAGATCCATATAGGAAAATAGAAAATGCTCAATATAGAGATAAGATAAACAGAACAGACAGATAAAAGAGTTAGACAGGACAGGTTAGTTAAGAGAGTAACATACAAAATAAATAAGACCGACAGATAGAAAAGAAGTTAAATAAAATATCCAAGATAAATAAATGCTGGAGAGATAAGATAAGTAAACACAGAAAAAGAGAGAGAGAAATATCTAAGATAGATAATGGATAGAAAAAAAGAGAGGAGAGTGAGAGAGAGAAAAGAAAGTGTGAGAGACAAAGTAGAAAGATCTAAGAGATGAGAAAGAAATAAGGCATAGATGACATGCAGAGGATATAGACTTCCTAGGTACATATAGTTCTGATGATGAATGTTGCTAGAGGGTTCCGGTGGCATGAGAAAACATTTTGTATAGAATTACACAATATCCTGTTTGTGAGAAATGACTTTAGCAATTACTGTCACGGATTGTTTGAGAAGAAAAAAAAGTTTTCTTTATTTTTAAACAATAGAAACTCATTCAAAATTATTATGCAATAAATGCAAATTGCATCAAAGTATGAAAAGGACTGCGTAATACATTACCAGAATTATCTCAATCTCTTTCTTATCTTTCCATCTCTATCTCCTTCCTACCCCTCCCTTTTTCTTTTCAGTCTTATTCCAAAGTGAGTATAAAGAGTCAATTTTTTTCTTAGCAATTGCATCAGCCATAGGAACTTATCACAGGGTGAACCGAGGAGCATGAATCATTCAGAACATGACTCAAACCCCTTGAAAATCAAGGCTTTCACATTTCATTTTGAATTTTTGAAAAATTTCCTGTTTCATGCAAAATCTGCAAAAGTTTGTGTTCTTTACTGAATTTTTTTGAGCCAATCTAAAATGTGTGAAATTTTTGAACTGAATACATGAACATTTTCAACATGTGTCTGTTTTCCATTTCATGAAAACATCATGAGAAAATGAAATTTGGGGAACATGTAATGCCCCAGAATGAAATGCCATAGATTGTCCCATGAAACTTCGCAACCCCCCGCCTAAAATCTGATAATTTCTGTCGAGTCCTTTTCAGAAGCAGAGTAGCATATATGCATGTTAAATATGAACTACAGCTGATCATATTAGGCTTTCCCATATAATTAATATTCACTGTCATCATCATAGATTAGCATGCATTTTGGGCCCCTGTAATACTGATGTGAGTAGTAAACAGTCCCATACTGGGCACAAGCCAAAGTCTTCAGCAACAGAAAGATATAGAGAAAAAACAATGCTACGCTGGGAAGGAGCTTTTTCTAATGATTAGGGTTGGAGATTGGTAGTCAGGAATTTGGGTTCTGTTCCCAGCTCGGTCACTGATTCCTTGTTTAGCTCTGGGCAAGTCACATCCCCTATCTGTGTCTCAGTTTCCCCATCTGTAAAATCAGCAGCAACAATACCGAGCTACCTCAGAGGTGCATTGGACTCCTCCAGTGGGAAAGTGCTATAGAAGTGTAATGTAGGATCATTATCACATCAGTATGCATCATTACTAATATGACTAAGACAGTCATTTGTAATGGCTAAGCAGATAATTAATGTGCACTTGTACTATCACCACTGTGTTAATATGCACCCTCCAACTTTGGGCATTGCAATTTCTCTTTCAAAAGATAGTTTAACAGTGTCCTACCATTGCATTCCAGCTCTGTTGATCTCTTCCCACCAGCATTCTGTTGGTTCCCCAAGACTCTGGGGCGTAGGCATGCATGCATAGTTCCACAGTCTGTCAGAGCCTTCCTTCTTGCTGAAAGTGCTCCTTACTGCCACTATCACCTGGCCATGGGGGCACTGGAAGTTGAAGCCCTGACGATACACATTGACCCACCCATCATTACCTCCGTAGTCATAGTGTTGATAGTTATAATCCCCATACTGGCCCCAAGCCACCGTCACCAGTGGCAGGAACACACAGAGAAGAACAAGGTCCATGTTGAATATGTTTCTGGCTTAGAAATGCCCCACTGGTTTGTTGTGCTGGCCCTTTTATATTGCCTCTAACATGTGGCTTCCAGATGTTTCAAATCTAGATCCAAGTGCAATGTGTCATTGTTTAGCGAAAGTTCTCTGACCTAAAATATTGGCTACAGACACTTTCAATTACTTTTAAGGTGGAACTCTGCAAGAATAGTAGTGCTTAAGAGCATAGGAACTGGGGTTTCCCAGGAGTGTGAACCTTCTCCAATCCCTTACTGTAAAACTACTATCTATAAAGGCTGTACATATACATCACACCTGGATAATACATAAGCTTCAGCAACCCATTGTGCAATAGTTAAGGTTGAAAAACAGTTTCATTTGAAATTCAAGCTCTATTACATATGGGCAGAACTTGGTGAAATGTTGATCTTTAGGTTGCAATTTTCCATTCTTGGTATTTGTCCATCTTTTTCATCTTGAACAAAAATGGTTCTATTATTTTTGAGTGAGAAGAGAGTGGGGAAAAATATACTTTTCCCATTATAAAAATATCCTTTAGACTTTTTGGAGCCCAAATGACTGACGGTTGATTGTCCTGATCTAGCATGGGAATGGCCCTCATTGAGGAGCAGAGCTCAAGCTGTTTCAAGAGGAAAGTGATTTTGCTATGACTGAATTAAGAGCATTTGAAAATGGCATATGCCGTGCGTTCAGCAGATACTGTTGCTAAGGTCATTAAGTGTACTCCTAGGCCCTGATTCGGGAAACCATCCCCATTCAGGAAACCACTTAAGCACCGGTTTTACTTTAAGTATGTGCTTAAGTCTCATAGACGTCAACGAGGCTTAAGCATGAGTTTAAGGTTAATCATGTGCCTAAAGGCTTTCCTGAATCAGAGCACTAAGGAATTATGCACTGGGGGCATGGGTGCCTAAGCTGACTTTATAGTGAACTGGCTCCAGAATCACTGCCTGCAGAGCCGCCTTAGTCTCCAAGTGAGAGGATCCAAATGACAAAGATCCCCACGTGTCCCTCCCTGCCCATTCACTGCATATCATGCAGATCTTAAAACATCCATGCGCCCCCCTCCCCAGCTGCTGCTATTCCCAGAATTCACAATTAAGCAGACCTGCTGTGGTGAGTGGATTGGAATTGCTGGAAAAGCCAACTACCTGGTAGAGACCCACGCTCCATTACACCAGGGTGACTGCTCTGATGACACTTAGAAGCTCCACAGGGCATATGCCTTTGTAACGCCAACAGACCAAGGTCATCAGTGGGCAGGATTGAACCTAGGGCCTCTGGAGCTTAAAGCATGAGCCTCTACCGCATGAGCTAAAAGCCAACTGGCTCTTAGCTAAGGCTGTAGAGCAGATTCATTTAACTCTCGCTCTTAGTAGTCTCGGTGCCACTAGATGGGACCCAGGAGTTGTGTGGGTTACACCTTCACCTTCTAGCCCCAGCTCTCAGAAGCTCCACAGGAACAGAACTCCCCTCCTGCACCCATCTTAAAGTGGAGGTTCCATCCTCTGGATCTTAGGCCTTCTGCAGCAGTAGGGGACCTGGATGGCCAGGGTCTTGGAAGAGACGTGAAGAGTCCTGGGGATAAAGAAAACAACGTGTCCCCGTGTACATATGCATTACAGTCATCTTTAATTACGTGATCTCACACTATTTCTCACAATGCAATAGCATATGATTGACCCCATAGACACATGTGTTCAACATATTGTAGTATTGTGCACTACTCTGTGTCTGCCTGACAGAGGCTATGAAAATAATCTATAGAAGTACATAGTAAACCGCACATATACAACATATGGAGCTCGACCCTCAGCTGGTGAAAATGAGTGGAACGCTACTGATTTCAGCAGAGCAACGTGGAATTACACAACTTGAGGATATGGCCCATGAAGTACAACATCAAAGAACAATAGCAAAAAAAGTACATCTCTAGAGGGTTGGAATTAACTTTCAAAATTAAATTTTTTCAGTGAATTTATGAGTGGGGCTTTATGAATGAATCTTACTATGAATACACTATCAAATCAGGAAGCCATCACAGAGTGTTCATTAGATGTTTTCCCTGGACTAAACCTGTGATCCAACCCCATTCCTAATCTAACAGTAGGTTTCCTAATGCAATCAACGCAAAGTCCCAGCCTCACCATCTGATCCCCACATGTGATTCCCAAGTGTCTATCACTTGGAAACTATACAGTGTTCTAAGCCAGTGGTTCTTAACGTTTTCCACAGCAGGACCCCTCCAGGATCCACCCCTCCACCCTATAAGTAGGTTCTGGTTGGGACCCCTGATCCCAATTAGCAATATAAGCAATGCAGGATGGGACTCTTGGGGCATCTGAAGCTACCAACAGCATCCCCCAGGTGCCAGACAGGGGAGTGTCCACATATGGACAACTCCGAATAATGAATAAGTAGCTGTGGAGCTAAAGTTGTGCATGGGGCTGGTAACCCCATCATGTCAGACCAGACTTGCTACAGAAACGAACACCAGAAGCCATCTCGGTGTGCAGCAGGCTCAAACAAGAGATCAGCTTCATGTGAAGAACATAACGGGCATTGATCAAACCCATAACGAAGCCCAAGTGTCAAAAAGTCCCTTGCTCAAGGCCAGATCAGTAATGAAAATCAGATTTTGAAATGTGAAAAAGAAGCCAAATACATCAACATGACAATCAGTAGCCTGAACAAGCCAGCACAAGACTGAAATAAATGGTAGAAACTAGTGGGCAGGGCCGGCTCCAGGCACCAGCCCACCAAGCTTGTGCTTGGGGCGGCACCTGGAGGGGGGCGGCGCGGCGCTCCGGCCGCCGGGGGGAGAGCGGAGCCCCGGCCGGGGCTCGCCGCCCTCCTCCCAGGGCTCCGGCCGCCCTCCTCCCCGGCGCCCTCCCTCCGTCATCTAACCCCGCTCAAAGCAGTCAGACGACCCAGTGGTTAAAAGGCCAGTGATCAGAGGTCTTGAAACAGACAGGCTGTAGCAGAACCAAAGTTCAGGCAGCCTGACTGGCTGCATGGCATGATGTGGACAGCATTATAAGCCAAATCTGAGTTCTTGCATTGAGTTCAGCTGGAGTTTGCCTGGGAGAAAATCTCAGAACCTGGCCCTTTCTGAAATGCCTTGCCCTGTAATTTGACTTTGAAAAAGTCAGTTGCCTGCCTAGTGGTTTGATGTTCTCACACTCTTACTCATAAAGCAGCAAAGCAGAAAACAACAATATGGTAGGAGACAGGAGACTCTAAAGCCTCCCTGTTGTCAATGCCTTGCCATAAATACGCAATAACTTTCTATCAGTACTTAAAAATGCTACCGTTTAACCCATCTAAACTACATATTGTCTTCTACAGTAGTTGTCTGATAGCACTACAATAACACTCCTGTAAGACCATTGCTTTGGATCATTGCTTTAAAATACTGTAGTACATTTTTAGTGTGTAGAACCACTGCTGTGGATCCAGTACTAATTTTTCAAAGGAACATTAAGATTTGCTTTTTTTTTTTCAGCATAGAGCTCCAATGCTAGAGTTGGATGGATATGGAAGCTTTATTTACTGCTTAGTGAATGTAAAAAGGATCCTAGAGCAGTAACAGGACTATGGGGAATGCACACTTGTTCAATTACATGCACGATTAGGGCCTGATTCTGCAAACTATTACTCATGGGAGAAGCTTCATTGACTTTGGTGAGGCTGTTTGTAGGTGAAATTCACCCCTGTGAAGAGGGCCAGATGAAGGTGTATACGAACATACGGGTCAACATATGGGTCAAATCAATGGTTCGTCTAGCCCAATATTCTGTCTTCCAACAGTGGCCAGTGCCAGGTGCTTCAGAGGGAATGAACAGAACAGGGCAATTATCAAGTGACCCATCCCCTGTTGTCCAGTCCCAGCTTTTGGCAGTCAGAGTTATAGGGACACCCAGAGCATGGGGTTGTGTCCCTGACCATCTTGGCTAATATCCTGCATGAACTTATGTAACTCTTTTTTGAGCCCAGTTATACTTTTGGCTGTCACAGCATCCCCTGGCAACGAGGTCCACAGATTGACTGTGTGTTGTGTGAAGAAGTACTTCCTCGTGCTTGTTTCAAACCTGCTGCATATTAATTTCATTGGGTGATCCCCCAGCCCTTGTGCTATGAGAAGGAGTGAATAACACTGCCCTATTCACTTTTTCCATACCTGTCATGATTTTATAGACCTCTATCATATCCCCCCTTAGTTGTTATCACATTCTGGGGTGCAATCCAGACTAGTGAGGGGTTGTGTCACCACCTGCCCTGCAACCCTGTGTGCCTCTCAGTCCTTTGCTGCTGTAGCTCCCAACCTGGGCCTCTCACAAACAGCCAAACGGCATGCAGGTCACACTCTGAGTGTCTGTGAATAGCTGCAGCCCTGGTCCAGCAACTCTGACCCCAGAGCCTGTCAGCAACACACAAGCCACACTCTGGCTTCCAGCAGGGTGACCCCAATATACTTCCAATCCTGCATTTTCCCCCAAAATATTCTCCATGTTCTGCAGTGTCCAGCCCTCTCCTGGGCAGTTCGGATATTATAGATCTGTTGCCCATGTACAGGGTCAATGTACTATAGTTTGCTACTCTAATTGGAGTTGCCAAACAATTCAGTTTAAACACAACGCTGGAATAGTTTTGATTAAAGAATAACACAAGTTTATTTAACTACAAAGAAAGAGATTTTAAGTGAGTACAAGTATAAAGCATTAAAGTCAGAAATGGTTACAAGAGAAATAAAGACAAAATGCTTTCTAGTAATGAAAACTTAACAAACTAGACTTCGTTCAAGGTGAAATCCTTTAGCACAGGTTCCAGCAACACTGATGACCAAATTTTCAAGTTAGGATCTCTCACAAAGTCCCAAGGCTAGTTGCTTTGTCTTCTTAGGTGAACGAGAGAGAGAGAGAGATCCCCTGGTGTGTTTTTGCCCCTCACTTTTATAGTCCAGTCCCCCTTTGCAGTGGATTCTTCTGAGGATTAACCCTCAAAGC